AGTCCTTAAAATAGAGAGTGCCTCTTTGGGAATTCAGATCAGGCAACACGGTGAAGCTGTGAGGACATCTAGTCCTGCTCCAATTCATGGTTTTTGTCCAAGGTATTGAGAGTTTGGGTTATGGATTTTTCTGGATTCATGCTACTGTTTTGATTCTTATTTTCTGTATCTATGCTCATGTTATGACTCCTCTTTTCATGTACCTTTTGGATTATATGGATTATTTCCTTTGAAGTGTTTTACTCCACACCAGTTGGGTTGAGCTTTTAACTTACTACTTTTAATTGTTACCTGTTGGAATTTGCTTTTCTTACTTACTTTGGTGATTTTCCCCTTTTTATATGTACTTTTACTATTGCTTTTGGATTCCTGGTTGGTGCTAAGAGCAAGGTGAACTCTGGCTGGGGTGCAACAATGCATCAGTTCTCCAGAGGAAGATGCCAAGTAGGAGTGGAGGTAACCGATTACCTAGCCCAAGGGGTCAATTAGCCCATTGGTAGCCACTGACAGCCATTCCCTTTTCACATTTTTGGCAGCCCCCTTGCCTTCTCTTTCTCATTTCTACATAGCTCACCAGCAAGGGCAGGTGTATACAATGCGACCCGCATTCTGGGAAGCCAATTTCTCCCTGGGTTCTTGGATACACTGGAATCTGCTGCAGTGCATTAACAGGCTTAACCTGTGCTTTCCTAAACTTTATGCACGGTATACCTTTAATCCAGGATGCAGCACACTTCATTAGCATGTGTTTTGTGGTCGCCACAGTTTCGAGTGACCTTGTATTAAATGATCACGGGCGATGTGATCTTGGATAATAATGTTATTATTATGTTATTTATTATTATTTATTTATTTATTTATTTATTTACAGTTCTTATATTCCGCCCTTCTCACCCCGCAGGGGACTCAGGGCGGATTACAGTAAACACATATATGGCAAACATTCAATGCCAGTTTGACAAACAACATTTAACAGACAAAGGCTATTTAACTTTTTTTTCTGGCCGCCAGGGGAGCTGCTGCTTTTCATCGTCCATCAACGACACCGATGAAGTTCTTCTGCATTCCACATTCCCCGGAGTCTTCTTTCTTTATGGCCTCATAAATTAGTTAAATTTAGCCTCCCACACAAGGTGGTCCCTTATTTTCCTACTTGACAGATGCAACTGTCTTTCGGGTTGCAAAGGTCGACAACGGGCTACACAATGGCTGGACACCCACTCCAGCCCGGGCTGGCTTCGAACTCATGACCTTTTGGTCAGAGTGATCTTAATGCAGCTGACACTCAGCCAGCTGCGCCACAATCCCGGTATATAGTTCTCTCTTCTTCAGTAGATGGAAGTGGTAAACAGGTACTTGGCACCAATTATGGACAGAATGGGGGCCAATAAAATTGACATTTAGTTAAGACAAAATTGAGGTAGTATTAGTGGATGGTCCATCTGTCCCATTAAACAGTTTCAATCCTGCTCTGAGTGCTCTCACACACTCAAATTCCACAGAGCAAGGATTTATTATGTATATATGTATTAGTTTTGTTTGTATTCCACCTGCATGTCTGCAAATGAGAATTTGGAATATTTGGATGAGATGAATTATGTGTTCATGTTGACTGGATCTCTGAGGAAAGAGGACAGGCAAGGTTATTCGTTTCCATGAATTATAACAGAATGAAGCAGAAAACGCCAAAAGAGTGCACTCAAGAGGAACCCAGTTACTGCCAGAAATCAAACCTGAAATTATTGTGTTCAATCATAGACCACTGATATCAAGGGACAGAAATCTGCATTTTTCATATTCCTGTTCCTTACTGTTGATTTCTATTGTGAAGTACTAATATTTTGTGAAGAACAAAATCAATCTTAAAGCTGGGCTGCTGAATAGAATATATAGCATATATATAGAATATTTAAACACCATGCAGCAGAGAGTGAGGGTATTAGTAAGGCAAACTTCATAACTTATTAAAAATTCTTGTCATGATAACTGGAGGGAATGAAGTACAGGTTGCAATAGATCCCACGGAAAGCAAAAATATTGGATCAATTTGAATGATTTCAAGACAGCGGGGACTGATGATTCACACCTCAGGGTGCTGAAGTAGCCAGTAGTCGTTCATGTCTGAACCATTAGCAACTGTATCTGAAAATCTGCAGAGGAGAGTATAAATCCCCAATGACTCAGAAATAATGATCATGCTGTATTTTTTCAAGTAAAAGAAGGATTTGGGGAGCTGCAGATCAAATCAGTGCACCAACTCCAGTATCTTGGAAACAGTTTGAAAAATTACAAGGGAAAACTGGTGTGGTGAAGAAATTTTCATGCAGGGGCAGAGACAAAAATTGGTCAATTTCAATTTGACCATCTACATTTCCTTCCTCCGCTCCATGACATTTCCAGTACAGCTTCTGGGTTTTATATCTGTGTATATCTATATGTAGCCAATGTATAAATGTGTGAGGGGAAGTCATAGGGAGGAGAGAACAGGTTTGTTTTCTGCTGCCCTTGAGACCAGGGGCCCTTTCCACAGGCATATAACCCAGAATATCAAGATAGAAAATCCCACAATATCTGCTTTGAACTGGGTTATCTGAATCCACACTGCCATATATGTCAGTTCAAAGCAGATAATGTGGGATTTTATTCAGCTGTTGAAGGGGGTAGGATGTGAAACAATGGCCTCAAACTACTGGAAAGGAGATTCCACAATTCTGGGCACCACAATTGAAGGGAGGTATTGACAAGCTGGTATGTGTCCAGAGGAGACTAAAATGATCAAGTGTCTGGAGAACAAGCTCTATGAGGAGCGGCTTCAAGAGCTGGGCATGTTTAGCCTTCATAAGAGAAGGCTGAGAGGAGACATGATGAGGGCCATGTATAAATATGTGAGAGGAAGTCGTAGGGAGGAGGGTGCAAGCTTGTTTTCCGCTGCTCTGGAGACTAGGATGCAGAAAAATGGCTTCAAACTACAGGAAAGGAAGATTCCACCTGAACATTAGGAAGAACTTCCGGACTGTGAGAGCTGTTCAGCAGTGGAACTCACTGCCTCAGAGAGTGGTGGAGACTGCTATACTTTTAAAGGATGCCTAGAAGATGGAGTTTCAGCAGGTGATGCTTATTACATGGCTGCTTGACAAGCAACATTTCCTGAATTCTCTTTTCTACACCACCATTAAATGAACAGGAGCTGTCTACAGTTTTCAGCCTAGTAAACCTAATTGTACACAGATCTGACTTGATGAAGGAAAGTGGGATACAATACATTAATAATTAATAAGCAACTTCATTCCCCCCCCCCCAACATCACATAGGAAAGGGAATGAAGAATTTTCATACTGTGATTTTATGATGTTGTGTTGATTGTTTATTGTCTACTTGTATGTTTTGTTTTGCACTTGTTGTATTTTGCATATCACACCTTGAGTGTTTTGTGAACTGCCCCAGTCCCTCTGGGAGATGGTGGTGGAATATAAATAAAAGTTGGTTATTATTAGTATTATCATCTTTTTCACACACATTTGTTGCCTGTTGATTTATGGCAACCACATACATTTCATTGGGTTTTCATAGGCAAGAAATCCTCAGAGAGGTTTTTGCCAATTCCTTCTTCTAAAACATAGCCAAAACCAGTTGGTATTCCCTGGTAGTTTCCCATCCAAATATTAACCAAGCACTTAATTTTTTTTCTGGTTATAATTGTGTAGTATGAAAGGTTTCATAGCCACTAGGAGCTCACCAGTGAGGAAGCTGCCTCAAATAGCAGATTTTCAATATCATGAAAGGAAAGCAAATTAATAGTGATTGTTATTTTCAACAGGAAGAGAAAAAAAGTCTTGTAACACCTTTAAGTCTAAATCAATTTATTTCAACATGAGCTTTCATGGACTACTGGCCACATCAGACTTTGGAGAACTACAGCCAACTTTGTTTTTCCTGCCAGGGAAGAGAACTTATTTGTATTGTTTGTTTATTTATTATGCTTCATGTGGTTGAGGCTGGTTGGAATTAGCATTTGCTGCCTTACATCAGGCCCTGAAACAAACTATTTTGAGAACATTATGATGCCACAGCTAAAAAGTGTTTAGATCAAGGGAAGTAACTGTTCGTTGTTGAAGGCTTTCATGGTTGGAATAACTGAGTTGCTGTAAGTTCTCCAGGCTGCATGGCCATGTTTAAAGTGGCCAAATGCAACATTCACAATAGCAGACAAGAATTCTTTTTCCCACCCTGGACATTCCACAGATATATAAATCTCATTTTCCTAGTTTCCAGTAGATCTCACAAGCTCTGAGGATGCCTGCCATAGATGCAAGCAAAACATCAGGAGAGAATGCTTCTGGAACATGCCCATACAGTCCGGAAAACTCATAACAACCCAGTGATTCTGACCATAAAAGTCTGCGACAATACATTTTTCTGATTGCACTTTCTCTCCCCTTCCTCCTGCCAATGAGAAGAGGGAGCTGAGGCCAGGCATCCCATTCTTTAGGAAGTTGGGCTGTTAGGAAATGTGGGAGTTGAAGTCCAAAACACCTGTAGGGAGCAAGTTTGCCCATGCCTGATCTATATGGTAGATTTCATGCCATTTGACACCACTTTAACTGTATTGTCGAAGGCTTTCATGGCCGGAATCACTGAGTTGTTGTAGGTTTTTTGGGCTGTATGGCCATGTTCAAGAAGCATTGTCTCCTGATGTGTTGCCTGCATCTGTGAGGTCTGTTGGAAACTAGGAAAATTGGGTTTATATATCTGTGGAAAGGGTCCAAGGTGGGAGAAAGAACTCTTGTCTGTTGGAGATAGGTGTGAATGTTTCAATTGGCCACCTTGATTAGCATTTGGTGGCCTGACATTTTTTAGGGGTAGCTTGTTACTGCATGGGGGAATCCTTTGTTGAGAGGTGATGAGGTGTTCCTGATTGTTTTTTGTCTGGAGTTCCCCTGTGTTTAACTGCTTTAACTGCTGTAGCCCAGACCGCCTGCCTTGCGCAGGGAAGGAGGAAGCAATCTGGAGAAAGCGAGAGGAGGAAGGCAAGTCTCTCCCACTCTCCCGAGGAGGCAAAAGAAGGCGGGTGGGAGCGGAGAAAAGACTTGCTATGCTCCCCTCCCTCTTTTTCTCCCAAAGGGCGAGGGAAGGACCTGCGGAGAGTCTCCCCAGCTCCTCACAGTCCAAAGGGGGAACCGGGGGAGGGCTGGGCTTATTTCCGGGTGCCTCTCCAGCCAGCCTCGCCAAGGAAGGGGAAGGCGAGGACTCCCCAGGAAGGAGAAGGAGCTGAAGCAGCCGCCACAGGTAAACCCCACTTGCACCAAGGCTTCTTGCCTTCCGATTCCCTTTTGCTACCCCAAAGCAACCCCCTGACCAGAGAGAAAGAGGGGCTGAGCTTATTTGGGGGTACATCTCCGAGTATAAAACCCTAAGGATTGCAAACGCACTCAGGCAGACACTTCTTGGTGGGGTATGTTGAGGGTTCCTCCCCTTTCATGCCAAGGGAGCTCATTAAATCAAAGTACGTGACATTACATTAAATTGACTACCTCGGCTCCCACCCTGTCCTACAAGGAGGGCTCTGAAACGCGACTCTTTCCCTGGGTCTTTTCTTGCAGGGTCTTTGCCTGTGTTGCATGCAACTTTTAAGCAAACTCACATACCTTTTCTGTCGGGGTATTATTTTAAGTTAGCTGCCTTGCATGTGTTCTCCTTGGTGGTGTGCCAAAAGTCTCCCACTTACCTCACTGGAAGTCTCTATGTTGTTGCTTATGATGCTTGATTTATTATTTAGGATGATGTTATTCTTATGTTGTTTTAATATTTTTACTGTTTTGCTTTTAATTGTATGTTTCCTTGGGCATGGCCCCATCCATGTAAGCCACCCCGAGTCCCTTCGGGGTGGCTTACATGGAAAGAAAAATAAAGTTCTCCTCCTCCTCCTCCTCCTCCATCTTCTCCTTCTTCTTCCCCTTCTTCTTTTTCCTTCTTCCTCTCCTCCTCCTCCTCCTCCTCCTCCTCCTCCTCCTCCTCCTCCTCCTCCTCTTCTTCTTCTTCTTTCTCTTCTCTTCTTCTCTTCTTCTTCTTCTTCTTCTTCTTCTTCTTCTTCTTCGCTGTTTCCCAAACTCTGGTCTTCTAGGTGTTTTTGATTTCATTTTCAACAATCTCTCATCATTAGCAAAGGCATCTGCGGCTTCTGGGCACTGAAGTCCTAAACATCTGGACTTCAACTCCCAGAAGTGGTTCTCTCTAGCCCCAGGTCATGCTCATTGCATCTATATTGTAGATTTCATGCAGTTTGACATTACTTTACTTGCCAAAGAAGGCTGTAGAACAGGCATGAGCAAACTTGGGCCCTCCAGGTGTTTTGGACTTCAACTCCCACAATTCCTAACAGCCTCAGGCCTTTTCCTTTTCTGGCTGAGGCTGTTAGGAATCACAGTTGAAGCCCAAAACTGGAGGGCCCACGTTTGCCCAAGCCTGCTGTAGAATCATGGGAGTTGTAGTTTCACTAGGTTTTCCCCCTTCTCCCTCCCTCCTTCCTTCCCTTCCACCCTTTTGTCCTTCCTTCCTTGCTTGCTTCCTTCCCTCTTTCCTCTTTCTCCTTCTTTCCTTCCTTCTTTCCTTCCTTTTTTCTTTTCTTCCTTCTCTCTTTCCTCCATCTCTTTATTCCCTTCCATCCTTCTCTTCCTCCCTTTCTTCTTTCCTTCCTTCTCTTTTTCCTTCCTCCTGGGGGATGTTTACCCCTCCGCCGCTTAAGCCTGAAGAGTCATCTGGCAGAGAACAGGAGTCTCCATTCTTTAACCTAGGCATGGGCAAACTTTGGCCTTCCAAATGTTTTGGACTTCATCTCCCACCATTCCTAACAGCCTCCGGCCCCTTCCTTTTCCCCCTCAGCCGCTTAAGCGCTTCTTATAAAAAGGCAAGTCTTGGTTTATCAAGTTAAAAAAACAGTGAGACGAATTGAAAGCTGTGTATCGTGTTCCCTCCCTTATTGCATGAGTTACGTTCCAGGACCACCCGTGAAAAGTGAAAATCCACGAAGTAGGGACGCTATAAATGTATATCGCATTCCGAGGGTGAGGCAGAAGCGAGGAGAGATTTAAAGGCACCAAACATCTTTTTCTTTTCTTTTCTTTTCTTTTTGCTATGCCTTGCTTTGCAATCTCTCTTGATTGGCTGCCTCTCTCCCAACAGGGAGGGTGAAACCCCCTTCCACACTTCACCATTGCCCAGAGTGGGATTAAAACGCCATCCTGAGCAATGGCAACCAAACACAAACTGGGATGCAAAAACCCACGAAACAGCGAGTCCACAAAAAGCGAACTGCAAAGTAGCGAGGGAACACTGTATATATTATCTGGTGAAGGCAGTTTGATAAATGTAAGTCATCACTTGATATTGTTTCCTTGATGAAAGTGCATATGTGAATGCGCTCACTGTGCTAGGGGAAGGAGGAGAAATCACACATCTTTCATTGACACAGTGGCCGTGGTTTCCCCATATTAAAAGAATCTCCAAAGAGATACCACAGGTAATTTCAAAAATATCCTGTTACATCTACCCTCCTCAAGAATATCTATGATTTCAAATTTGGTACCATGGATGTTAACAAAGAATTGTTCGTTTAATATGTATGTACTACCGTTAATATTTCAAATATCTTGTTTTGTGAGTTAACTACGTCACATTTCATAATAAGTATGTCTTTTACAATTTCAGAGCTCAGTCTTCAAACAGATCTTTGACTGGTGCAAGATGCCATCTGATTGTCCAGCCATAAAACTCGTGGATTATGCATCATCTCAGACAATCTAGGTATAACTAGCTGCAAATAATTTGCATTGAAAAAAAAAGGCTTTTCGAGCATTTTTATACTTCTGTCATGTCTAAATAATATTTCCAAAATCACATGCCCTTCAGTACCTATGTATGTGTATATCTCTTCAAGTGTATGTGTATATCTCTTCCCAGGTGAGGTTGGTGGGGATGAGAGACAGGTCCTCCTCAGTGGTGACCCCTTGTCTATGGAACTTCTTCCCCAGTGAAATTAGATGGGCCCCCTCCCTCCTGACCATCAGGAAAAAAAACCTAAAAACATGGCTTTGGGACCAAGCTTTTGGTCAGTAAATTTGAGCATTTCAACAAGAGATCACAAATAACATACCGTATATAATCAAGTCAAATATAGGACTGCGGGAAGATCCAACCAGTCCATCCTCCAGGAAATAAAGCCCGACTGCTCACTGGAGGGAAGGATACTAGAGACAAAGTTGAAGTACTTTGGCCACATCATGAGGAGACAGCAAAGCCTAGAGAAGACAATTATGCTGGGAAGGTGGAAGGCAAAAGGAAGAGGGGCCGACCAAGGGCAAGATGGATGGATGGCATCCTTGAAGTGACTGGACTGACCTTGAAGGAGCTGGGGGTGGTGACGGCCGACAGGGAGCTCTGGCGTGGGCTGGTCTATGAGGTCACGAAGAGTCGGAGACGACTGAACGAATGAACAACAACATATAATCAAGTATAAGCTGACCCAAATATAAGTTGAGGCACCTAATTTTACCACAAAAAATGGAAAAACTGATTGACTTGAGTATAAGCCGAGAGTGGAAAATACAGCAGCTACTGGTAAATTTCAAAATAAAAACAGATACCAATACAACTACATTAATTGAGGCATCCGTACGTTCTATGTCTTTGAATAGTTACATAAAACTGTAATTTAGGATAAGACTGTCCAACTTTGATTAAACCATTGTTCTGATCTTTTTCAATGTAAATGTTCTTGAGTATCCTTCCAAATATAATAAATAGAGTAAAATAATAAGTGTAATAGTAGTAATAATAATAATAATATAGTAAAATAATGGAAATGTAATGATAACAATAATAAATAGAGTAAATAAATATAGTAGTAGTAATAATAGTAATAAATGTAATAATAATAATAATAGAGCAAAGTAATAAATGTAATAATAATAACAGAGTAAAAAATAAATAAACCAAGGGGGACTTTTCAGCCTAAAAAAGGGGCTGAAAAACTAGGCTTATACTTGAATATATACAGTTATTGATGACTTGGAATGGCCCTGGAATATGACTTGAATGGTGTGATTTTAATTGATGTTTTAACGTTTGATGTTTTAATTGTTTTGAATTTTTAAACATTTGTTTATGTTTATATGTGGCATTGAATTGTTGTGTCCCCATAGGGTGAGAAGGGAGGGCTACAAGTGTGGTGTATATATATATATATATATATATATATATCACTAAAAATAGAGAGGGGCAACTAAGTTACAGTATCAGTAATGCTGGCAATGACTGGAAAATACTTTTGGATCAAACTGCATTTGCATAACATAAATCATTTATGAGAATTTCCTTTGTAATGCCATCCAAGCTGAACAAGGAGGCTTTGTGAACAAGAAGGTGAGTGGAGGAAAGGAGCTTGTTGCCAGGCTAAGTTCAAGCTGGAATGTGTCCAGAGGAGGGCAACTAAAATGATCAAGGGTCTGGAGAACAAACCCTATGAGGAACGGCTAAAAGAGCTGGGCATGTTTAGCTTGAAGAAGAGAAGGCTGAGAGGAGACATGATAGCCATGTATAAATATGTGAGAGGAAGTCATAGGGAGGAGGGAGCAAGCTTGTTTTCTGCTGCCCTGGAGACTAGGATGTGGAACAATGGCTTCAAACTACAAGAAAGGAGATCCACCTGAACACTAGGAAGAACTTCCTGACTGTGAGAGCTGTTCTGCAGTGGAACTCTCTGCCCAGGAGTGTGGTGGAGGCTCCTTCTTTGGAGGCTTTTAAACAGAGGCTGAATGGCCATCTGTCAGGGGTGCTTTGAATGCAGTTTTCCTGCTTCTTGGCAGGGGGTTGGACTGGATGGCCCACGAGGTCTCTTCCAACTCTATGATTCTAAGTGAGGAGTGTTGAAGACATCTGTGGAGTTTGTTTCCAAAAAATACCAACAAAAAATGAGCCATAGGTGGCAGCACGTTGTTTGCCTAGGAGTAGAATATCATAACAATTATCAAAGCGTATGAAATTATTTCGATACAGGGCAATTGTAATTTATAGCAAAAGAATGCATATCCTTAGCATGTTTTTTATTTAATTTCTGTAAATTTTGTTCAGATGTTACCTTATAGAAACAAGCTTTATTCTTGTGAATGCATCAACCAAACTCTCTTAACTTTGTGTTGTCGAAGGCTTTCATGACCGGAATCACTGGGCTGCTGTGAGGTTTCCATGCTGTATGGCCATGTTCCAGAAGCATTCTTTCTTGACATTTTGCTCACATCTGTGGCAGGCATCTTCAGACCTCACAACCTCTGGGGATGCCTGCCATAGATGTTGGCAAATGTCAGGAGAGACTGCTTCTGGAACATGGCCATACAGCCTGGAAAACTCACAGCAACCCTCTCTTAACTATGTTCGTTGTTTTGTTTTCATGCTATTCTTCTCTTCTAGTTCTGTATCCAAGCAGACATTGAAGCAGAGACATATAGACAATTAGGATTAAGTCTTGATCACAATTCAAACTGAGATTAATAAATCAATTTCAAACCATGATTTCAGCTTCTAGTTTTTAACTCCTAAACAATACACCTCACAAACTCTGGGGATGTCTGTCATAGATGTGGGCGAAACATCAGGAGAGAATGCTTCTGGAACATGGCCATACAGACAGGAAAACTCACAGCAACCCAATAGTTGTATTCCTGCTCAGGTACAGATGCACAAACAAACAATTTTTTAAAAATTAAATATATGATTTAGTTGTTGTACATGGATCAAGCTTATTTGCAGTGATGAGGGGTGGCCACTCTAATTCGAAGATCCTCTTTCTATTAGGAATGGCTTTGGGTCTAAATGTGTAACTTAGGAGTGATTGCAGTCTCAGAGGAAGGAGAAACCTAGGTAGAAAAATCCTTCCTCTCCCCCATCCCCCTAAAAAAATACTCTACAAGCAAAATATTAACAGGGCATTCAAGGAGTAGATATACCTTTTTGTGTTTTTTAATTTGATCTTTGATAGACATTTCCTTTAAAAAAAAATAATTCCCATTCATTGATTCCAGCAGGAAGGAAAGAAAATACCATAGGCTGATGTTCTCACCATCCCCTTTTCCATCCTGGAATATTTTAGGGAAATAAGAGATCATCTCACTTTTATGAATCGAAAGCCTCTTTCAAAGTGCATCTTCGGGGTTCTCTATAATTGCAAGCATTATGTTCATGGGGTGAGATCTTCTTCTCTGAGGGCAAACATCATTCTCTTGCCTAAGAGATGAAAACTGTTGCTGGAGCATTAAAGTTAGCAAAAAATGTGTAACTTTCTCTATTTTATTCATGACCTATTTTATTGCAACATTTCTGAAAACTTGCAAATTTGGGCTACATTTATAATGATAGTCACATTTTTCATGCTTGTGCAGCGGCTGGGAAAAGAAAAATCATTATAATACTAAAACTGATATATATATATAGAGAGAGAGAGAGAGAGAGAGAGATTTCATCTTCTGAATGTTAAAAAATAATAATCGCCTTATCGTAATAATATATAGCAGTTTCTTGAGTATTAAAAATAGTAAAATCATTCCGAGTGGGTTCAATTTTTGTTCCAGTAGAGGTCACTGTAGCTTGCAAGGCAAAAGCTTAACATTTAACTTTTTAACAGTAAGTGAGTTTGGAAATTCAGACGTTTTTTCCTGCTGCACAAGAGTTCTAACATTTATTTGTATCACTTTTTATTTCCATCAAATAAATTTATCAATAATTTTAACTAATTTTAACCTTGAAACTATACTTTGAAAAAAAGTTTGTGTTTCTCTCCTTTCTGGTGTTTACAAACATCTGGGTATTTATTTATTTATTTATCTATCGTTTCAGAAGCAAATTGAGAAAATAGTTATAATGTTTCTCTATAATCTTTTAATGTATATATTATATATTATATATACATATTATATATAATGAATGTTATAATGTATAGAGAATGCAGTTATAATGTATAGAGATGGGCCAAAACTAAGAAAATGAAGTTCAACAGGGACAAATGCAAGATATTCCACTTAGGCAAAAAAAATGCCTAGAAATATTCCATTTAGGCAGAAAAAAATGATGGTCCCAATTCAAGGTGCAGGTTATCACCTATAAAGCCCCGAAGGGTTTGGGACCCGCCTACCTTCGTGACTGCATCTCCTACCACCAACCTGCATGATTCCTTCGATCCTCTGGGGAGGCCCTCCTTTCGCCCCTTCCTTGGTCACAAGTTTGACTTGTGGGAACAAGGGAGAGAGCTTTTCCGCTATGGCCACCCAGCTTTGGAACTTGCTACCTGGTGAGATTAGGCAAACCCCCACCCTAGCAGCCTTTAAGAAAGATTTGAAAACTTGGCTTTTCCAATGTGCCTTTGGAGAGTGACCATACATCCCATTTCTGGTTGCCCCGTCTACAGTGTTGTAATAATAATAATAATAATACTTTATTTGTACCCCACTACTATCTCCCCAAGGGACTCGGTGTGGTTTACATGAGGCCGAGCCCACAATACATCAATACAAGCAATAACAACAATAAAACAATTAAATAAAACTCATAAACAAAAAAGCAATATATAATGACAGTAATACAACACACATTTAAAATCTATGGCTGGGCCAAATGTAATTAAAGTTAAAAATAATGCTAGGCATGAACAAGATAGGAGAAATGGGGCGTTGGTGAGAGCATACAAACAATCCTAAATCAGTGTAAAGTGCATTTAGAGGGCACAATGCTGAGAGTTCATTATTCTGGGAAGGCAC